GCACCTCCCCGTGAGGTACACCTAGAAGATTACCTACGCGCCTCAGACTGTCCCTGACTAGACCCCCCTTGCTCTGGGCACACTTGCCAAGGCTTTGCTGGACCACTGGACAACTGGACCAGTCGTATCCCACACGCTGGACACCAATCAATGTGACAAACCCAGACCTACTGGGATCTGCCACACATTAACTAAGCTGCCACCAACCATTCCCTGTAAGAAGTCACACAGACCAGGGATGGATTTTTAAACAATAAAAGAATAAGGTTTATTTACATACAACACACAGGGATAATAAAATGATTAGGTGAATAAAACAAAGTAACGTGGCTTATTCTCACTCATACAAGCATACAGTTTGGTTCACCCAGAACCTTTAACTTGAAGCACAGACCCTGAACCTATCAGTTCTGGCTAACCAACAGACACCTGAACCTATCAGGTTGGTACTCTGACACACAGAAGTACCCTGTCTGACACACAGACTCCCACAACAGCTTCTTCTTCCCAGCTGCTGCTTCGTCACAACCCAGTGTCTCTCAGTGTCTGTCTCAGCATCTCCCAGTGTGTGTTCTCTCACCACACAGGCATCACATATTTATACAGTACAGCCCCTCCTCCTGATGTCCCGCCTTCCACTCCCCATAGGATGAAACTTTCCCTCCAAACCCATGACAGACAGGTAACATCAGTGCTGTATGTAACAAGAACAACCTTCAGAACACGGCCAAAGAGCCCGAAAAACCCACAACAGCTAGTGCTAATTTTATTTACTTTGGAGAAATGAGGAAGAAGAGTTCCTTTTCAAAATGGCAACAAGTATGATAGCTGATAGAGATACGCAGTGTGGCGTAGTGGGTAGAGTAATGGACCGGGGCTCAGGAGAGCTGCCAAAGAGCCCGAAAAACCCACAACAGCTAGTGCTAATTTTATTTACTTTGGAGAAATGAGGAAGAAGAGTTCCTTTTCAAAATGGCAACAAGTATGATAGCTGATAGAGATACGCAGTGTGGCGTAGTGGGTAGAGTAATGGACCGGGGCTCAGGAGAGCTGGGTTTAAATCCTCACTTGGCAATAGAAACTGACTGGGGAGGAGACCTCTCCTCAAATATCACTCTTTGAAAACACTATCAGGGGTCACTCCAAGGAGGGTTTGACTTGACAGCACATGACACACGATAGCTGATTACTTCTGGGTAAGGATGTTGGAGTAGGGACATGGTGGCGCCGCGGGCTAAACTGCAGAAGCCTGTGCTGCAGGGTCAGAAGACCAAGCAGTCATAAGATCGAATCCACATGATGGAGTGAGCGCCCATCCCTTGTCCCAGCTCCCGCCAACCTAGCAGTTTGAACGCATGCAAATGCAAGTAGATAAATAGGGACCACCTCGGTGGGAAGGTAACAGCGTTCCGTGTCTCAGACACACTGGCCATGTGACCTTGGAAGATTGTCTTCGGACAAAAACGCTGGCTCTATGGCTTGGACACAGGGATGAGCACCGCCCCCTAGAGTCGAACACGACTGGACAACAATTGTCAAGGGGAACCTTTACCTTTACCTTTAAGGATGTTGGAACTGTAATATTGACTGATTACTTTTTAAACACAACTTCCAAGCCTGAGCACATTCAGGGTATCTTGTGTGAAAGATGAAATGCTGTAATAGCCGGGTGGGCACGAAACAAATTGCAAACATTATGCAGAAGTGAGGTGATACTTTTGTAAGCCAACCAGAAAAGTAGAAAAAAGTGTGCCCAAGCACATAAAAATGAAAAAGCTCATTTAAAAAGAGGATCACTCTGATTTTAGGTTGCTTCCCCCCCACCAGACCTTTCCTACAAATAATTTTATTTAAATAAATAAAGAATAAAAGATATGAAACAAATGAAAGTAGCCCACAATACAAACAAAATAAGTAAAGCTGCCCCTTGACATTAGTCCAGTCGTGTCCGACTCTGGGGCGCGGTGCTCATCCCCATCTCCAAGCCATAGGGCCAGCGTTTGTCCATAGACCTTTTCCGTGGTCATGTGGCCAGTGTGACTAGACACGGAATGCCGTTACCTTCCCACCGTGGTGGTACCTTTTTATCTACTCGCATTTACATGCTTTCGAACGGCTAGTTGGGCAGGAGCTGGGACAACCGACGGTAGCTCACTCCGTCACGTGGATTTGATCATACGACGGCGAGTCTTCCGACCTTGCAGCACAGAGGCTTCTGCAGTTTAACCCGCAGTGCCACCCACAAACAAAATACAAACAAGTAAAAACAAGAAAATTTAATATACACAACAAAAACAACTTAAACTATACAATTACACCACTGCACTGGGTCCACTGCACTGAGACCACTGGAGATCTAGTAAATTATTTCCCCATTTAACAAGTTCCCTTCCCTTTCCAAAACTGTTGACTCTGGCAAAGGGACATAATCTTACCCTTTTATTAATGGCTTATCGTTTTAAACTCTCCAAATCTCTCTCTCTCTCTGTGTTTGTGTTCTGTGCTGTCAAGTTGGAACTAAGTTATAACAACCTTTATATACTATATATACTTTATAAACCTATAACAACAAGATTTTAAGGGGTGATATTTAAGGAGTGGTTTTACCTGTTCCACTCCCCCCAGTGAAGTTTCCATAGCCACGTAGGGATTTGAACCCTTTTCTCCACAGTCCTAGTCCATCATTCTATCCACTACACACTGGGAAAATATCACTGAAACAATCTTATTTATCAACCTCTTTTTAATATTAATCTCACAAGTTAACTTATCATTTATTGGTATACAGTGGTGCCTCGCATTACGACGTTAATTCGTTCCAGCGAAATCGCTGTAGAATGAAATCGTCGTAATGCGAAAAGAAAAAAAACCCATTGAAACGCATTAAAACCTGTTTAATGCGTTCCAAAGGGCTGTAAACTCACTGTCCAGCGAAGATCCTCCATAGGGCGGCCATTTTTGCTGCCTGTGCAGTGAGGAATCCATCCCAGAAAACAGCGGGGGGCCATTTTGTTTACCCGGCTGCCATTTTGAAACCGCCGATCAGTTCTTGGAAAATTGACATTTTGCGAAGAATTGGTTCCCAAAGCAGGGAACCAATCATCGCAAAGCTAAATTCCCCCATAGGAAACATCGTTTTGTGATCACAAAAAGTTCGTCGTTAAACGGGACAATCATAAAGCGAGGCACCACTATTTAGTATTTCATATCAACCAGTTCACTGAAAATCATGCTTCACGTTCCAGTTCTTTTATCCATTGAATGATTAGTCTATAGAAACACTGCTCTGAAGTCTTCTGGATAAAGGGTAGTTTAGGTTTTTGAACAGAAAATAAATCTGTTAATCTGGCAAAAGGGCCATAGCTCAGAGGTACAGTATCATCAATGCTTTTGCAGGGATAAATGTGCAGGCTTCCTCCCAGGTACCTCCATTTTAAGGATAGGCTTCCAGTGGTACATCTAGCAAAGGTCTATGCCTGAGAGCCACTTCAACTTTCGGTACAGACAAACCAGCGATTAAAGTCTATATGTCATTAGAAAACTGTGAGAGGGCAAATTAAAAAAAAACAACGGTAGAAACAGTGAAGGTCTGGAAGAATCTAATATCCGTTCCCCAGCATTCCCATTTCCATTTCCTTTGTGATTTTTAGGCCATGGAAAGCAAACTCCTTGTTGGAGGGAAAAATATTGTCGATCACACAAATGAACAGCAGAAAATTTTGGAACAGAAGCGGCAGGAGATTGCTGAGCAGGTGAGATGGGTGCAAAGAAGCCCTGGGAGGCTCACGGTAGAAAACAAAAGGAATGCTTTCTACTGTGGATGTCACAAGAGCCTTGATGGGTCGTTACAGAATAAAGTCCACCTTACCCAGCAGCCCAGTCCTATATTGGCTGGCCGGATGCCTTTGTGAGAAGCCTACCAAGAAATCATGAGGGCTGTGGCCTTTGACCCTTGTTTTTCAAAGCAGCTGGTATTCAGAGGCCTACTGTTTTGAAGATGGATGGTTAATTTGGGCACCCAGAGACTCTGTTCCCTTTCTGTGGGGTCATGAAGCTTGTATTTTGAATGCCTTTCTTTTTTTTATTTCTATAACACACACATACATACAAAACAAACACATTAAACAATCAAAAGACATATAAAACAAACAAAACATATAGCTGGGGTCCCTTCCTTCCTTCCCTCCCTCCCTTTCTTTTTTTCTTGAAGGGTTGGCATTGGTCGCTTTAATTTCAGTGGCGATTGTCTACCAATGTTTTTGGTAGATAACATTTTCTGCCTTCTTTCCTTTTGTACTTGTCTTATGTGTATGGTTCATGACTATAGATGGGAATATTCGTATTTGTATATGAATATCCCCGCACAAGTGGAAATAACTGTCCACTCACGATTTCGCCAGATGGGGTTATTCATATTTGTATATGAATATCCCCCCACAGATGGAAATAACTCACCATTCCGCCTCTCGTGTGCGCTCAATGGAGCCTTCCTATTCCACTGCAATGGATTAGCCACTCCTGGCAGGAGGCAGGATGACAAGCATCTCTGCCAGGTCGCAGAGAACGGGGCAATAGGAAGGCTCTGTTGACCGTGCATGGGGCCGGACCCTCCTTATTTCCACCTGTGGGGGGATATTCCTATACGAATGCACCCATCTCCGCTCATGACCTTTCTTGCCTGAACCCCTTGTCAGCAATAGGAAACCAGTAAAATATAAACATTGTACTGTTTTAGAGAGTCTGCAAACACGTGAACATGGGAAAGGCAAGATCATCGAATGGTGTACAATGTATGTCAGGTTTTTTTGTTTCTTCTTTGTTCCTTTTAAACCTCATTGGCCGATTAATTCTTCCTGTTTTGAGATTCTTTTTTGTTTTAATTTGGGTTTTTTTACTCCTAAAAACAGTGGTTTTATTTAATTTGTTTATTTAAAAAAATGTAATCTGCCTTTCTACTTAAAAAGATCCCAAGGTGGCTTACAACAATTAAAAGGCAGTATTTAAGATTAATAACAATGGATTAATAACAATACATTATTAAAAGGATCAGTGAATACAATACAACCCCTCCACACACAAAAATCCCCCAAAATACAATACCAAAAACCTACTCAGCCGTTAGGTAAGCCTAGCGTTCTTGGACTGCAGTTCCCAGAAGCCTTCACCACCAACTCTGCTGGCCGGGATTTCTCAGAATTGTAGTCTAAGAACACTGGGTTACCCAGGCTTGAGAACCACAGCTTTAAGGTATGAGACCTAATAATGTGAGGCTCCTGTTTGCTGCACAGTTTCTTGGCCATAAACCCATGTGATTCCTTGGAACGTCCTTCAAAGTAAACCTATGTAAGTCAGCGTGATCCCACTGTCTCAAGGAATAGAAAACAGAATTCTGAAACAGGATCAAGTCTCCTAATACTTTGTTTATTACAATATAAAAGAGTTTGCAGTTGAATGGAAATGTGAAATGCCTTTTGATTTTGGTTCATATTCTCCGTTGTACTTAAGTTACTGAAATATTTAATTCCTGGCCAGAGCAGTTCAGGTTTTGATCTTTGAGGCCTAGATGAAGTTTGGATGGAGCAGCCTTCTTTGTCATTTGCTGCAGAAACGACGGGAGCGAGAAATTCAACAGCAGATGGAAAGTCGAGATGAGGAAACGCTGGAGCTGAAGGAGACCTATAGCTCCCTGCAGCAAGAGGTGGACATTAAAACTAAAAAACTGAAAAAGGTGAGCAGGGTTTCTCTGAATGAGCGCCACCCAGATAGAGCGAAAACCCAAATCTGGCTCATGAGCGGCTGTGTTAGGAAAGGCCACAGAGACAGAAACGATAGGGACACAATCTATTTGGAATGTTTTTCACACAAGGCACCTTAGAAAGGAGTGGGCACTAGGTAGCTGGGGTTTTTTGCACCATTTCCATTCATTTGGTAGGACTGTGGACAGGGGAACTTCCTTGTTGACTCCCCGTGATTTCTGCCTGGAAGCCTTAGAATGCACCAACATGAAGCATCCGTGCAGAATGGTCTAGGTGGAGTACAGTAGGACTGCAGTATCTGTGGGGATCGGGTCAAAGCCCCTCCGCCCGCGTGGATGCAAGGAATCGTGGATATTGTGAAACTTATACAGTGGTGCCTCACTTAACGATTTTAATTGGTGCCAAAAAATCATCGCTATGGGAAAACATCGCTAAGTGAAACACATTTTCCCATAGAAATGCATTGAAAACCGCTCATAGGAAACATCATTAAACGGAGCACAAGATTGCTCTGAAAAAACCATCACTAAGCGATTACATCGTTAAACGAAGCAATCGCTAAGTGAGGCACCACTGTATATTGCATAATTTCTGGTTCTTTCCTTGGAAATGCATTTTTGGAGGGGTTGTTTAGTATTTTCAGGCAGCAGGTAAGTGAATCAGTGAGTACGGATCCCATGGAGATGGTGGTCTTATTGTCTTGGCAAAAACTGGCAGTCAACAGTGCTTCCCCCCCCCCTTTATTGTGTAAAACAATAACTCAGTGTTCAGGAGATCTGTGTGAACAAGGGATATACAGCCAGCCTTCCTTCCAAGCAGGAAGCTGCAGAGATTTGTGAGATGATCCCAATGGTTGGGTGGCAATTCTCAAACCACTTCTTTAGCTCCAAGCTCAGGAAAGACTGGTGATTGCTTAGCAACTATGTAGTCAAGATATTTAGCATGTCCACAGTTAGCCGCCTTCCCCTTTCCCGTTCCGGCCTAAGAGACGGCTGGACATGGGGAGCTTTTTTAGCAGCTGCACAGCGGTGGCTGTCTGAGTACCTCCAAAGCTGGCCCACGTGCGGATGGACACTCTTCTCCTACAGGGAAGATAACGAGGCTTCTTCATTGGCTGATGAGTTCGGGTGGCTCATTTCACTTTCTATAAGCACTAGCCCAACTGGCAAGGAAAAAGGCTTTTCTTGCCATAGCTTCGTAACTCCTGCCCTCCCTTTCAGCTCTTTTCTAAGCTTCAAGCCGTGAAGGCCGAAATCCATGACCTTCAAGAGGAGCACATCAAAGAACGACAAGAACTGGAACAAACCCAGAATGAACTCACACGGGAACTGAAGCTAAAGTAGGTTTGTTTCTGTCGAGCATTTGTTTTATATATTTATTTAAAATATTTTTAAATGCATTTCCCCCCCGTGACTGCCTGTGGGATGAGAAAGAACTCAGCGGCAGCGTTTTCTTTACTTGCGGATCCCTGGTGAGAGAGCGCGTTGATTCCGCTGAGTTGCTTGTCCCGTTCTTGCCACTCCCTTTGTTGATCTCCGTAGGCATCTGATTATTGAGAACTTCATTCCCTTGGAAGAGAAGAACAAGATTATGAATCGGTCATTCTTTGACGAGGAGGAAGACCAGTGGAAGCTGCACCCCATCACCCGGCTGGAGTAAGTTGTTTCTGATTAAGAGTGAGGACACTCTCCAGGAGACCCGTCCATTCCTCTCAAGCATCAGTTGTCTTCAGTATAAGTTAACACATTTTCTTAATGTGCTCTCGCGCTCTCTGTGTCTGTCAAACAAAGTGAGATCTACTGTCAGGAAAAGTAAAACCAGTGCTGACATATTTAATGGATAAATGTCACATTTAAAGGCAAGCCTCAGTGTGCCGTTGCGGCCAGACCTTTGTCATAACTGGGAGAGGGATGCAGGGTTAAATCCCTGCTTAGCTCGCTGGTTGGCCTTGGACCATTCTCAACCTTTCAGCCTAATTGCCCCTGATTTAAAATGTAGAGGAGGTGAGCCAGGTATGCCATCTTCAGCTTCGTAGAGGAAAGGCAGATGTTGCAGCTTCTACAGACAACATTTTTTGTTGTTGTTTAGTTGTTTAGTCGTGTCCGACTCTTTGTGACTCCATGGACCAGAACACGCCAGGCCTTCCTGTCTTCCACTGCCTCCTGGAGTTGGGTCAAATTCATGCTAGTCGCTTCAGTGACCCCGTCCAACCTTCTCGTCCTCTGTCATCCCCTTCTCCTCCTGCCTTCATACTTTCCCAACATCAGGGTCTTTTCCAGGGAGTCTTCTCTTCTCATGAGATGGCCAAAGTACTGGAGCCTCAGCTTCAGGATCTGTCCTTCCAGTGAGCACTCAAAACCAAATGGATGTAGACCGCTCTCCCTGTTTTCCAATGTCTTACTCTGTTTACCCATCCTTACTTTTGGTTTGAGACATGACAAAACCATCCCTACTATATACGTACAAGAAAACAAAAGAAATTTGCCTTCCACAAAATGTTGATCTGCCAACCATTCCTGTTTGGTTTGGGACAGTGCAGAGGAGGAGAAGGTGGAATAATGACCTCGTAAAGTCTTGAAATATATTCATTGCTTGAAACCTCTTAGAGATGGGTTTGGAATACAACACCCCATTCTTATTCAGAGCAGCCGGATTCAGTCTCTCAGAGCAGGGGAAGAAGAGGAAGGAGGGGGAAGACGCATTAATGGACTGGGATAGGCCAGTTGGTAGTTAAGAACGTCCATGTTCAAAGCTGGTGTCTCTTTGATGATGAGGCAGAAGGTGCCTAAGTTGGGAACACCTCATGTCGTGTTTTCAGACGTCCCAGGGTGTCTGGTTGGCCACAGTTGGAAACAGAATTCTAGGCCAGATGGAGCTTTGATCTGACCCAGCAGGATTCTTAGTAGACACTTCTGTTTAAAAGAGGGAGAGAGATTCTACCCTTCAGGCCACTTGTTTGTGTAAATTGAGGACATAAACTCTCTTGCAAGAAAGTTATTACTATATACAGTGGTGCCTCGCATTACGACGTTAATTCGTTCCAGCGAAATCACTGTAGAATGAAAATGTCGTAAAACGATTTTTAAAATCCCATATCCCATTAAAACCCAATTAATGCGTTCCTTTGGGCTGGAAACTCACCGTCCAGCGAAGATCCTCCATAGTACGGCCATTTTCGCTGTCTGTGCAGTGAGGAATCCGTCTCAGAAAACAGCGGGTGGCCATTTTGTTTACCCGGCGGCCATTTTGAAACTGCCGATCAGCTGTTAAAAAATAATCGCTTTGCGAGAATCGGTTCCTGAAGCAGGGAACCGATCATCGCAAAGCGAAATTTCCCCCCTAGGGAACATTGTTTTGCAATCACTTTTGTGATCGCAAAAACATCGACGTCAAGCGTCGGAGCACCCATCTTGCGGGGCACTGCTGTATAAATAATACACTGTGTGTGAGCAGCAGAAGAACGGGCCACCTTCCTGACTGATGCATACAGAATAGCTTTTATTTTCCTTTATTCACACCAAAGAGTCTCATGAATAGCCCCAAGAAGCCTTGGTGTCTTTTAAGATCTCTTGGATGGAGACCGGTTGGACCCAGTGATTTATTAGCAATTTGCCACTGAGGTCTAGAGCTTCCTATCTGTTCATCACTGATGATCTAACTCTTACTCTGTCCTCTTAGAAATATTGGTTCAAGCACATGTCTTGAGCTGTTTAAGACAGAGGGAAGCAATTAATGTAGGGTCTCTGCCGTGTCCACATTCTCCTTTATTACTCCATTAATTCCATTGTCATCCAGAGGTCTAACTGCTTCTCTAGCTAGCTGTTTTCCTGCTCCTGCTGTATTTAAAGAGTATTTTATTGTTGGTTTTGATGCTATTAGCAGTACAGACCTCAGAATCCTTTCCTTCTTAATTGCTTGCTTTTGTTTCCTTTATGCAATCTTGTGCTTGTTTCTGTTCGCCTCCTTTGGGTTTCTGATAGAAGCTTTTTGCCTCTGATCGGGTCCTTTATTCAGTATATGAGCAATAAGGATGACTTCTTTTTCTGACCTATGGTCTGTGTTCTAGCTGGGCCTCTGTTGTGGTTTTGCATTGTGGTCTCTGAGCATTTTGGAGAGATTTGACCCTCTTGGCTTTTCCTTTTGCCTTTGCTTTTATTGATGCCTTCATTTTAAAGAGCTTTCCTCTTCTGCAATCAAATAGGACTGTGTTGGAGTTCCCTGTCTCTTTGGCTCGTAACCTATGCATTCAATTTGATTGCATTGTGGTCACTGTTTCCCAGGCAGTTCATCCATGCCTGCATTCTTTGGAAGATCTTGGGCAGAATCCTTTCGGATTCTATTCAGAGTCACCTTTTATCTAGTCAATTCTTTGTTCAGCTGTTTTACAGCATGGCCGTTTTAGAGTATCTGGAAGTTTTGCCTCTTTCTTAAGACCAGAACATCCATCCATTTATGTAGTTGGTATGGGGGTAGTTAAAATGCTGTTTCCCTTTAATATGCTACCCTGATTTTATTCTCCCATTGAAGATGACCCTGAACCTTTTGATCAGGAAAATGATAGCAAAGTGCCCAGTATTAACTAATTTCTGTTAAGTCGTAGGTATGTTCCCACTGTAATCTTGAAATCATAGGAACCACCCTATCATGGTGGCTGTTTGCAGAGAAGATGAGTGTTAGTTCTCTTACTGATCAGGAGCAAGGACCTGTGAGTCTTTCTCCTTGTAGAAAAAGGTAGCCAGGAGTGGCACAGAAGCAGATGCTTTGATACAGATTATAGGGATTAATGCAGGGGTGTGTGTGGACGGACTCAGGAGGCTTGCAGTCAGCTCCTTGGGGAGGAGAGATTCATGAGTTTCTCCCTTGCCAGGAACCAACAAATGATGAAAAGGCCAGTGTCTGCAGTGGGATATAAAAGACCTCTGAGCCAACACGCTAGGATGTCCATGATGGTCCGTCCAGAGGCCCGTTACAGGGTAAGCTCCCACTCCTATTTGCTTTTGGTTTATTTGTGAGGACCTGCGTAAAACCAGGAGTGATGTGGAGAGCGAATCACACTCTGCTGTGGATGGTTGTTTCTGTCCCCCATTGCAGCTGGCCGTTCCTTGCTTCCTGCCCGCTTTATGTCTTCTATACCACTGGTTCTTAACCTTGGGTTACTCAGGAGTTTTGGACTGCAACTCCCAGAAGCCTTCACCACCAACTGTGCTGGCTGGGGTTTCTGGGACTTGCAGTTCAAAAACATCCGAGTAACAAAGGTTAAGAACCACTGTTCTATACTATAATTTTGTCCTAAGTAATTTGGTGCAATCTGGTGTGGTACGAATATTTTAATGAATGAATATGCACCCCTGAATCCAGATATATCCTTACCTGTAGCTGTCACTTACTCAGCTTCACAGCCTTCCTGGGTTTTTCCTGTTGCTGAAATATACGTCTGAACACTTTGTTCTGTATACCGTTGTGTGAAAAAGAAAGTTACACCCTCTTTGAATTCTATGGTTCTACACATCAGAACATATTCAAAATCATCTGGTCCTTATCAGGTCTGAAAATTAGGTAAATACAACCTCAGATGAACAACGGGACAAGACGTATTGCACCATGCCATTATTTATTTTACAAAAATAAAACCAAAATGGAGAAGCCATGTGTGGAAAACTAAGTACATCTTATGATTCAGTAGCTTGTAGAACCACCTTTAGCAGCAATAATTTGAAGCAGGGGTTTTCTGCATGATTTATCAGTCGCTCACATTGTTGTGGAGGAATTTTGGCCCACTCTTATTTACAGTGTTGCTTCAATTCAGCGAGGTTTGCAAGCACAGCTCTCTTAAGGTCCCACCACACATTTTAGTCAGGTTGCGGTCTGGACGTGGACTGGCCCATGGCAACATCTTGATTCTTTTCTTTTTCAGCCATTCTGATGTGCTAGTGTGTTTGGGGTCATTGTCCTGTTGCATGACCCAATTTCGGCCAAGCCTTAGCTGTCAGACAGATGGTCTCATATTTGATTCTAGAATACTTTGGTATACAGAGGAGTTCATGGTTGGCTCCATGACTGCAAGGTGCCCAGATCCTGTGGCTACAGAACAAGCCTAAATCATCAGCCCTTCCATTACTGTGTTGACCGTTGGTATGAGGTGTTTGTGCTGATATGCTATGTTTGGTTTTGCCAAATGTGGCGTTGTGCATTATGGCCAAACATCTCCACTTTGGTCTTGTCTGTCCAAAGGACATTGTTCCAGAAGTCTTGTGCTTTGTTCAGATGCAACTTGGCAAACCTAAGCCATTCTGCCATGCTCTTTTTTAGAGACAAGAAGCTTTCTCCTGGCAACCCTTCCAAACCAACCATATTTGTTCAATCTTTTTCTAATTGTCCTGTCATGAACGTTCACATGCTAACTGAGTTCTGTGTCATCTAAAATGTAATCCTTGGGGGGTTGTTTTGCAATTTCTCTGAGCATTGCACGGTCTGACCTTGGGGTGAATTTGCTTGTATGTCTACTCCTGGGAAGATTGGCAACTGTCTTGAATGTTTTTCATTTCTGAATAATCCTCCCCACTGTAGAATGATGGACTAAATTGTTTGGGTATAGCTTTATAACCCTTCCTAGATTGATGGGCTGCAATAATTACTTCTCTATGATCATTGCTGATGTTTTTCCTCCTTGGCATGGTGCTAACGCACACTTGAATACTCCGGAGCACAGATTTCTAAAACTTTGGCAGTTATAGAGGTGGTCATACTTCCTTATGATCATTTATTGAAGGGCATTTGGTTAGCAGCACCCGGCTGCTACTTAGCTTCTTAATTCCTAGGGAAGCAGTAAGGGTGTGCTTAGTTTTTCACACATGGCTTCTTCATTTTCACTTCATTTTTGTAAAATAGATAATGGCATGGTGTAATATGTCACATGTTGTTGTTCATCTGAGGTTGTATTTACCTAATTTTCAGATCTACTAAGGACCAGATGATTTTGCTTATGTTCTGATACAAAAAACCCAGAGAATTCAAAGAGGGTGTAGTTTCTTTTTTCACATGATCGTATGAGCTCTCCCTTACTTTAAATCTTTTGCTGAAGTCTTACGGTTTCTGAATTCCTTTGATGTAACACCCCTCCCCCATCCTTAACTGCAGTGATACAAAGACTTATGTTGACCCAACCACACCTTTTGTTTTCCTGTGCCACTAGGTTATCCCCTTCCATCACATTATGGGCTGAAAAGCTCTTCAGGACAGGATTGAGCTAATTTACAGTCAATCCCGATTCTGCGGAGTTCTGTATGCATGCACAGTGCCTTTGAAATAAGATGCAGTTGTGTATTTCTCTCTCTCTCTCTCTCTCTCTCTCTGTGTATACATGCATGCCTGTCTATCTGTGGGGTTTCTCTGAACCCTCTTGATTCTGATCCTACAGGCCGAAAACATTGTGCTCTTGGAACTGGACATGCCTAGCCGAACAACACGAGACTATGAGGGCCCAGCCATCGCTCCAAAAGTTCAAGCCGCACTCGAAGCAGCTTTGCAAGAAGAAGATGAGATCCAGGTGGACGCATCCACTTTCGAGAGTACATCAAACAAGAAGCCAAAATCCAGGTGAGTTCCAGTTTCCAGATCGAAACCCAGATGAGCTCAGATTTTAGGGAGGAGACGATTTTCCGTTAGGAAACCCTGATCCTGAGCAGATCAGACTTGTAAGCTTTGGGCCACATTAATTGGGGAAGTGATTTGCATACAGAAGCTCTAGATGTTTATAAAATGTTTAAGGTACTTGAAAAACAAAAGAGGTTTGGCATGTTGTGAACTGCCCAGAATACAGCATCATATTAATGGGGTAGTATACCTGTATAAAGATAATAAATAAATGCTGTGCCTCTCCTTCGAAAAGAGTAATTGAAGTAAAAAACAACTATTTGCAGCACTTTCTTGATGATCAATAGAAGTGCATCATGTCTACCCACAAACACATGGTGGGTAATTTTTAGGGAGTACCATGTTTCCCCCAAAATAAGACAGGGTCTTATATAAATTTTTGCTCCAAAACATGCATTAAAGTGCTTATTTTCAGGGGATGTTTTATTTTACAGTCATGGCATCTTCTGGTTGCTACTCAATGCTGCACAAGGGTGGAGGATGGGGTTTCACTTCACTGGGGCTTATTTTTGGGGTAGGGCTTACATTACCAGCATCCTGAAAAGTCATTTGTTCTTGTTTAGTCTTTCAGTCATGTCCAACTCTTTGAGACCCCATGGATCAGAGCATGCCAGGCCCTCCTGTCTTCCACTGCCTCCCAGAGTTGGCTCAAATTCATGCTGGTCGCTTCAGTGACACTGTCCAACCATCTCGTCCTCTGTCGTCCCCTTCTCCTCTTGCCTTCACACTTTCCCAACATCAGGGTCTTTTCCAGGGAGTCTTCTCTTCTCATGAGATAGCCAAAGGATTGGAGCCTCAGCTTCAGGATCTGTTCTCCCAGTGAGCATTCAGGGTTGATTTCCTTTAGAATGGATAGGTTTGTTCTCCTTTCAGTCCAGGGGACTCTCAAGAGTCTCCTCCAGCACCACAATTCAAAAGCATCAATTCTTCGGCAGTCAGCCTTCTTTATGGTCCAGCTCTCACTTCCATACATCACTACAGGAAAAACCATAGCTTTGAATACGCGGATCTTTGTCAGCAAGGTGATATCTCTGCTTTATTTGATGTTTTTTGTTTGTTTGTTTGTTTGTTTATTTATGTATTTATTTATTTATTATGCAGTGATCATGGAGCCCAAGAAAGTAAAATCTGTCACTGCCTGTATACCTTCCCCTTCTATTTGCCAGGAGGTGATGGGACCAGTACCCATGATCTTAGTTTTTTTGATGTTGAGCTTCAGACCATTTTTGCGCTCTCCTCATTAAGAGGTTCTTTAATTCCTCCTCACTTTCTGCCATCAGAGTGGTATCATCTGCATGTCTGAGTTTGTTGATATTTCTTGATTCCTCCAGTCCTGCCTTTCGCATGATGTATTCTGCATATAAGTTAAATAAGCAGGGAGACAATATACAGCCTTGTCATACTCCTTTCCCAATTTTGAACCAATCAGTTGTTCCATATGCAGTTCTAACTGTTGTTTCCTGTCTCACATATAGATTTCTCAGGAGATAGATAAGGTGATCAGGTACTCCCATTTCTTTAAGAACTTGCCATAGTTAGCTGTGGTCAACACAGTCAAAAGCTTTTGCGTAGTCAATGAAGCAGAAGTAGATATTTTTCTGGAACTCTCTGGCTTTCTCCATAATCCAGCGCATGTTAGCAATTTGGTCTCTAGTTCCTCTGCCCTTTCGAAATCCAGCTTGTACTTCTGGAAGTTCTCGGTCCACATACTGCTGAAGCCTACCTTGGAGGATTTTGAGCATAACCTTGCTAGTGCGTAAAATGAGTGTAATTGTACGGTAATTGGAGCATTATTTGGCACTGCCCTTCTTTGGGTTTGAGATGTAGACTGATCTTTTCCAATCCTCTGGCCACTGCTCGGTTTTCCAAACATGCTGGCATATAGAGTGTAACACCTTAACAGCATCATCTTTTAAGATTTTAAATAGTTCCACTGGAATGCCATCACCTCTACTGGCCTTGTTGTTAGCCAAGCTTTCTAAGGCCCACTTGACTTCACTCTCCAGGATGTCTGGCTCAAGGTCAGCAACCGCACTCTCTGGATTCTCCAGGACATCCAGATCTTTCTGGTATAATTCCTCTGTGTATTCTTGCCACCTCTTCTTGATGTCTTCTGCTTCTTTTAGGACCCTACCATTCTTGTCCTTTATCATGTCCATCTTTACACAAAATGTTCCTTTAATATCTCTAATTTTCTTGAACAGATCTCATGTTTTTCCCTTTTATTTTCCTCTATTTCTTTGCACTATTCATTTAAGAAGGCCCTCTTGCCTCTCCTTGCTATTCTTTGGAAGTCTGCATTCAATTTTCTGTAACTTTCCCTATCTCCCTTGCATTTTGTTTCTCTTTTCTGCTATTTGTAGGGCTTATTTTTAGGTTAGGTCTTATTTTCGGGGAAACAGAGTATGGGATGTTTAGTATGGAGGTGAACTTTAAAAGCGACTTAAGCGACTGAGAAACAATAATTTACCATTTTGATCTGAAAAATGGCTTGCATTCTTCATTTTCCATGCCCCAGCAAAGACACCATGGTTGTTTATTCACCTTGGGTCATCTTGAGGAGAAAAATGGGACATAAGGAAGTAAATAAATAACCACATATTTCTCTTGATTTTGTATTTTCCAGGCCTAAAACTGGAAGGAAATCTGGAGGCTCTTCTTCTGGCGGTTCAGGATCTCCGTTCTATCCCCAGTCTCGTGGGCTGGTCCCCAAGTGAGCTGCTGTTTTTGGTGAGGGTGTAGCTAAGGTTTCAAGAGCTGAGGCAAGGAAGGACCTGTGGGGAGGAGGGTGTTATGTGACCAAATTGTAAAACTGTTCCCTTTGAGCAGTGGCCCTGTCTGCATCTGAACTGATTGGTGTCTCTTGGGGGGGGGGGTTTCCCTGTGGACCTCTACTTAGTGTGACTTTTTCCCTCCCTCCCACTGACCATCTTTAAGGTGAAAGTAACTCTAATTAGGAAATTGGAAATACACGAGGTACATTTTAGTATGTTCTAGAAGCATCAAGAACGATGGGCATCTCCTCAGCACATGGCCACCTCTACACTTTTTATTGTGTTTTCGTAGGAATTGTATTGCTTTTTTTTTGTCCTTGGGACAAGAGTCAAAGGCCATCTTGGCAGGACCCACGCTAAAATATTTGGAGAGAGGTTCAAAAGCGGCATGGGGAGTTTATCCAGCAACTGTGGATGTTTCTTCCTTTCGTTTACTTTTTTTTTGTTAAAAAAAGACTGGCACCTTTGGATTTATTGTGTTGGGAGTGGTTGTGTATAAACTGGGGAAGAGAGGAGATTGAAATGTAACCCTCAACTGATGAGACACATCTTTTTAGAAATGCAGACCAAAGGAGAGCTTGGAAAACCCCATTCTTCTCCTTCCTCTGGGAACAAAAGCAATAGAAACTCGATCAAATCTTTACCTGTTTACAAGGATTGGTAACACCTGTTCTAGGTGGAACTCCTAGAGACTTCATCTGTGACCAGCAGGGCCCATTTTTCCCAACAGTGCCCTTGAATACTCATTGTGAGCTTCACATTAGGATTCTTTCTGTGCCCATTCCATGCCTAGTTATGATCCACTGGGCACCCTTCCTTGGGGCATAGGCTCAAGGCCATTGCTTTTATTGTCTTCCACTGTCAGCGTGGTCTGTTTTGTTTTATGTTTTCTTTAAAAAAAAGATGGAAAGTTAAGCATTTGCAGGATCAGGCTCTCCGAGAAAAATTTCAAGTTCAGACCAGATTTGCCTCCTCATCTTATCCTTGGTGTGAAATCTTTTAATGTATGGAGTCCCCAGTTTTCCCAGTTGGATGGGGATCAAGTTTAAGTCTGAGCCGAGTTTGAAAAGGAGGGCACTGGACCAGTTTGTAGAGGTCAGGCTCATTTGAGGAGCTCCTGTTTTACCTCACCCCCTCCTTCAAACCTGGCCTGAGTAAAGAAGGCTGCTTTATGGGGTGGTAAGATGCTGCTAAACTGGATGGGGATCAGCAGGCTGGAGAAGGTGCTCCCTGTATATCATTTTACAGTTCCGCTGGTTAAGTTTAAAATGGTTGTATATGAATATGTAATTCAGTTGTTAATATTCGGGTGGGGAGGGGGGGAGCTTGATGTTGACTATTGTACTGTGAATATTTTTTCCACTGGGTTCCTCCTTGAATGGTCTAATGGCCCCCCTCTTCTCGGATGTGCTCTGTGTGTGTGTGCGCACACAGGTATGTATGAATGAATGAGAACTTGCTTGGTTTTTGAAATCCTCTTGATGTGTCTCAATGCCTCTGACTTGTGTGCTTGTTAAGTGGTCTCTGAGCAGCCCTCTCCAGGGTGCGCTGGCCTCCCAAAGATCTGACACTCCAAGAGGCATCTTGCTGGCATAGTGCCTCGATTCAGTCCAGAGGTGCTCAAACAGGTCCTGCTGCTTTGAATTCATGGATGTCTTTCTGAGGTGCCCCTGGTCTGCTGCTTTGAAAAGACTGTTTCTGAGGGCATGGAGGAGGACTGCACCTCTGGCGTTGTGGGGGAGAGGGGCAGAAACTCATTTGCTCTGGAGTTTCATTGGTCAGAGGAACCTGGGATTGCATTCCTATTTCAGTTAGCTGGACTGTTTCTGATAGAGCCTTTTGCTTTGGCTCTTGCAGTATGAAAGCACCTGTCATTTCCAACCCAACCTACTCCCATCCTCTCTTTTCCTCTATTAATCCCTTTGTTATGAAAGATAAGGATTGTATAACTTATATTGTGAAGTACAGCAGTTGTGACATAAGGCAGACAAAGTTCCAGCTGTGGATCTGCAGGTTCTTGTCAGTTCTTTGGTATTCTGTAAAAAAACAAACAAACAAAAAAACACAATTCTGAGAACGGGACTGGTAGTTTCATTTTAGTTTGAACGGGCAAGGCAAACCAGTGCCACGCAGGCTTCTGCAGGCTTGCTTGGAGAAATCACTTGGCAAGGTTTTTGCAGGGAGATGCCAGAGAAGTGGAAGCCAAGAGCCTCTTTATTTCTAATTGGCGATGCTGTGAAGGAGCAAAGCAATCTCTAGACATGTCCTAGTAAACCTGATGTCTCGGTCTTGTTGAGTCTCTTGTGTGACTGGGTGAGAAAAGAGGTCCAGTAAAGCCTAAGAAAAGGTTGTAGAACTAGATTCCCTGTAGGAACTTGCTGGCAATATTTTATTTCTTAACTCTGAGACATATAGTTGTATTTTCTTCCCCCCCTCCCAAAGCTATATCCCATAAAAGTCACTCTTGAAGGTCAGAGCCAGATATTGCATGATGCCGAATACTTATCAATTGAAGCTGTTTCTTTAAAAGCATGAAACTCTTTGGTGCAGCTTTTAAAATTACATGGAACACTTCCCTCCGTGCCAGGATTTTGACTGGCAGGAGATTCTGCATCTGTCCTTCAACACCTAACACAGACCTGATCACTAACATCTGAAACCTTACTTTAAAATAAACTCTCTGCAGATCTGTGCGCCCTGTCTGTGGTTTCTGACTGTTCATCTCAGGCTTCTCTCAAAAGTGTCTGTAAGAGACTCTAAAGATCCTAGTCAGTTGTGAGGATTCTCAGCAGCTTGTGAGCTTTAAGTTGTTGGCCCAGCTCTTACCAGTTTGGGTCTGTCCTGCTTTCACATCACAGGCCCAAACCCTCAACAACCCTACTTGAAATTATTTGTGCTCCTGCTCATTTCAGTGGGGTTCACAAAGGAGCCTTGCATTTTACATTGGACACCATGATCTTCTGCTAGATTCCTCAGCCTGTTTGGGAACACCTCGAATTGCCTCCCCCCCTTTTTTTGGTCTGTACATAAAGAGCAAACGTGTCAATAATTTTTGTCTATAGATTTTACAGCTTGTTATCTGTAATCATCTCTCTTGTCTAGGAATGTAAAAGTGAACCTAAAAAGAAGTGTAATAAAAATCAATCAAATTTATTGTAAGTAAAATAATAATAATAATAATAAAGCTTACTCTCCAAACTTTGTTTTGGTGTTAGGCTTCTTTATTTCTTTCTGGGAAGTATTTATAAATAATCTTTCGGTGCCATGCCCTCATACACAGTGGAGAAGATAAAAACAAATTTGTGGGGCGGCTGACACGATAATTTATTATTTAAAATATTTTATGCCATTTTTTCTCCTTTAAAAAAACACACACACACACAGAGCGCAAAGCAGCTTCTTGATTCTCTTGAAGAATCCAGGGTATAGAAATACTTCTTAAAATGTATTAAATAATTTATTTGAGATTTAATACTTATTCTTGCCTGAAAAAGAGAGGTCTGAGTTTCTAAGGTACTGTAGTTTGTTGCTTTTGCTCTCACTGTTGTATAAAAAAGAACTGAATTCATGGTTGCTTGCCCCTATTACAAAAACAAACTATTTTACAATGTAGACAGGATAATATATATAAAACACCATATATATATACAGTATATATGAATTCTCTTTCTTTACAATATACTGTACAGTGTAGTAGCAGACACGGCTGGGGGGGGGGAGAAATGACTCGGGTCGACCTAAAAGACCCACACACACACACCGGCCTTGGGGGGAGGGGGCCCATGAGGAGAGCCACTCCACAATCCAGCTACGGCCCCCGCCATTCCTCCCCAGGGGCAACACGAGCTAAACCCGGGTTTAAGGGAAGGCAGGCGGGCCTCCCCTTCCCATCATGCACCGCGGCGCCAGCGCCTGCTCGGGGGGAGGGGGTGTTCCCGGCTTCCCTCTTGTCTCTAAGGGAAAGGGAGCTTCGCGACGTCGCCCCGGCGCACGCCGGGAAGGGTAGTTCCGGCCCTCGCGAGACGGATTCGACCTGACGCCACTCCCTTCGGAGGAGTTCCCGCCCCAGTGTTTCGCGGACCACATTTCCCAGCGTCCCCCGCGCTTTGTTTTCCTTCAAACCTCGCACACTCTTCCCGCTCCCGTCTCTCTCGTTCGTCCCTCCCCTCCCACCGCTCTCTCGCTGGCGCGCGCGCTGTCGCCTTTCTCTCCCACGCCTATCAGGTTCGGAGGGTGGGAGGAGGTAGAGGATTGTCCCTCCGCGGCCACCGTCCGGGCCTAGCCTAGCGCGCCTCTCTGCCACTGGCGGCTCCCTCGCTCCGGCCGTCCCTCCTCCCTTCCTCTTTCCTTTCCCGCCC